AATTGTGACAGGCCTATCTGTATATTTTAATAGATTTTGTTTTTTACTCCAGTCTTGGAAACTGCCTTTTCATTTATTTTCATTTGACCTTTCCCTTCCTTTTGCAGCTGAAATGTGATCTTATCTCTTCAGAAATTTGTCCTTTAGCCATTTTAGATGTACATGAGAAAGAAATGTTCAAGACAGTTAAAGTGTGTTTGGGTCAAGGCTGGTGTCTCTTTGAAGGGGATTCCAGTGATTCCTTTGGGAGCAGCTTTTGTTGGGAGGACACAGCTGTAACTTAGTTGTTTTAAAATTGGAACAAATGGACGAGTTAAAGTGGCTGTAGGTGCACAAAAGAGTGGACAAATGAAATACTTAGTGCTCAAGGCTTTGTGTAATTCCTTTTTTCTGACACTGAAAAATGAATCACTTGCACCAAATGGCTGTTTTCACTGGAAATGCTGTGGATTTTACATATAATTCTAACTAATATCTGAGGGAACATTTATTGCTGGCATACAGTGCTAAAATGTAAATTTTCTTTAATCAATTTTACTCTATTTGTACCCTGTTATGAGTGAAAGTCACATTTCTATGTAATGGTCGTCCTGGTGGATCTAGTCCAAATTTCTCCATTGTGTAAATGTGTTTTTTTGGCATCAGCATCAGCATTGACATATATGTACGTAAAAAATATTGGATGTCAGCATCAAGCCAGAATTCCTGAACTGGTGCATCCCTGGCATATGCTACCTGTGGTTCATTAATAAGGGCTGAAGGTCAAATAAGACTCTTTTAGCAGTTTCAGAACAGTAAATCCTTCCTTGATTTACATACTTTTGAGCATGTTCTTCCTAGGTATTTAATCTCAGAGACACACTGGAGTGCTGATTAGGGATCTGTTTCTAGGACCAAAATCTTCATAAACGTGGGAGGAACCTGAGCTTAGATCAGCTGTCTTTTTCAGGCACTTGAATATGAGCCCAGATGTGTACATTGCTTTGAGGAATGCACTTTCATTCCAAATGTGTTACGCTTCACGCCTCTACAGACGTGTAGATACCTGCGAATGTAAGGCTAATTCAAGGCAAATATTTGAAAAGTTGATTCACGCCTCTTCTAGACTGTCCCTGAACAGCCCAGTCTGTACAGAACACCACATTCTCAGTGATGGAGCTGGTGTTCTCCCATTTTGAGCTTTCAGACTGTAAATTCCACCTGCTCTCCTCAGGCATTCGAGGCACCAGGTGCTCTTCAGCTCTTCACCTGAATTAATGTGAGTGAAAATTATCAGTGCATGAGCACTCACAATCTGACCGTGCATCTATTATCTGACTCTGCAGATGCTTCTTAACAAGGCTGGGGGGAGATGCATCTGATTATCTCTAGTTTGGAATTCAGATGGAACTGTACATTTGCATGGATTAAAAAAGAATGGAAATCTGCTTCTAGAAGCAGATTTTGCCCTGCAGGAAGCAGCAGAAGGTTGCACTTTACATTCTCATTCCACATTATTTTATCTTGGTACCAGTAGCAATACCATGACTTTGATATGATTCTTGAAGGATACTTTTTCGGTACCTTTTTTAAAAATACAAAACGTTTCAAAATGCTGTTTTGTATGCTTACTTTGTACCAAGAGAAGGTTTGAAAAGAGAAACAGCTGACATGTAAATCATTTGTCAAAAAACATTTTCTTTCTCTAATAAGGGTGACATTAATCATAACATAGCGTTGATACATCTTGTGAGTGTAAAGCCTGCTCCAAACATGTATCACAAAATAAGAAGATTAATGAAAGTGGCTTTTAGTGCACTTTGAAACAAAACCCCTCAGATATTAAGTTCAAAGTTGACAGACTGCCTTGTTCAGGACCACTGCTGTTTGAATTTGCACATATAAATGTTCAACAGACACAACTATTTGTTTTTTTTAAGCAAAAGTGGGTCTGGCTTAAATCAGAAATGAGTGTGCGGTGTTGGAAGTGAGTATATTTGTGGATATATTTACCAACCGCATCGGATTGCAGAGAACCACACAGCAATTAAGAAGCACTGACGTAACTCGCTTGTCATATAATTTAGACCGTCAATCAGCATGCTAGATTTTGAAACAAGCATGCTTATTGGCTCACTGATGTTCATGAAACTGACTTCATAGGTGTTGAAATTTGGTATTGAATGATACAGAATGTTACATGGGAGTCAGTAGTATTAATGGAAATAAACTTAAAAGCATTGAATTTTGATACCCAGCCCAAGTAGTAGTTACTTTTACATAGTTATATGTCCTCAAGTAAAATTTTGATGAATTTGATTATTATTTTGATGAATTTGATAATTATAGATATATAAGTGGGGTTGGTTGGCACTGTTTTCACAGGCATGTCATACCTGAGGATAACCCAGCTAGAAGCGTCTTTGCTAAAAAAAAATAGACACTTAAAATCTCAGGATTTTTTCCTAAATTTGATGCATTCATGATTAAATTCATTGTGCACTTGTGCCAACCAGCCCAAAATATTTCATTTTTTTAAATCAACTTAACATCAGGAATGTTACATTTATTTTATATTTTATCATTGTCTTGTATTAAAGGACAATAACAAGAAAAATAAAACTGGCCACTTCACTAATTAAAACTTGTTTATTATTTCGTTAGACTATATTAAAACATCTCAATTCATTTTTTCTACGTAGTGAATTAAACTTGGTTTTGTTATATGTTATATTTATGTTATATTTACAAAATTATACTTTAAACATTTTCAAATAAAAAATATTTAAAACATAAATAGTTCAGTTTCAAAGCTGGGTCATTTTCACCTTGACACAGACTCCTTTATCAAAAACAGGCCTAAAGCTTAGAAGTAAGAACAATATGTTGCACATTTAATGTACATTTAATAGAAACAGTGATATAGCACAGCACTACATTCTAGTTGTGTTGTTTAGTATGCAAAGTATAGTATAAAATGATACTGTGCCCTACACTCAAGGCAGGCTGACACGTGTGCTGACCGACCTCAAAATCAATGTGCTAATCAGCCCCACCCATATCAGAACACAGCTCTGTATGTACTTTAGGTCAGATAGCTAACATTATTTATTGTTGGCTTTCGACTCATATATCAAAGTATGACTGCACTTAACAAAACGGATGAACGTTGGTCAAGAGGGCATCATTTAATGTTTAATCATCTACTGACCCAGAGGTTAATGCCAACCAGCTTAACCTGACCAAATAGCTTCATTCTGCCTTACGATTGTGCGGAAAGTAACCTCAGTTACGTTTCATATACAGTTCTGTATAGCACCAAAAAGCGTTCTTCTATCAAGCTTGACATAATAATAGCAGAACACTTTTTGGTGCTATATAGAACTATTTTTGAAAAGGTTGTTTTATAGAACCATATACAACACACTCTCCATCAGTCTGAAGAACCATTTCACCATGCATACAACCATTTAAGCATGAAATGATTCTACATAGAATTCATGGTTCTAAATAGAACTTTTACCTTTACTAAAGAACCCTTGATGAATCATTTTTTTTAAGTGTGTGATAGATACTTGATGCACCATTACAGAACTGAGTAACTTACAGTTCTATAAGTTACTGAGTATTTTTGTAGTTTTATGGCCTGCTCCTTTTGTAGTTTTACTAAGTATTAGTTTAGGCTAGTCTACACCCCTGCAGTTAGGGGATGCATTAAAACCAGTCTGGCTGTATCACTGGAGCCTGTGTCTGTACAGAGTGTTTTGCTGGTAGTGATACGGTTCTCAGTATTCTAGGAGTGAGATCAGATACCAGAACAGAGTGCATCTAGGACTCTCATGTTCTTATCACATTCAGGTCTGATTCAGAGACACTTCCAGCACTTTGTGAATGATGGTTCATTTGCAGTCTAGTGGATTACAAGCGAAAAAAAAAACACTTTGTCAGCGTCTTTTTTTTTCCTCCGGAAATGGAAAGTGAGGTCATAGTGTCTGAAACCTGCGTATGGGTTAAGCTTATCCCGACAGCTCGTTAATAACACCGAGCTAAAGAATGCTACTAAAGAATGCTACTCCCCCATCACTCTACTCCCCTGACTTTTTTCCCCTTGTTTTTTCAAAATGCTTTTATCTCTTTTCTCACTGCTCTCCTCCTATTCCTGCATATCCAGTACCTTGGCCTGTTCTAGTTTTCCAGTCTGCTCCTTTGACCATACAGCCAAGTGGTGGTCAGGGCTGGACCCACCGCAGCTTCAGTCCAGAGCCAAGTGTACTGAAGTTCTTAATCCATACACAGCATGTTTATGGAAACATCATGAAACGATGTGCACTGATGTTTACAGCAGTGAGGCTGCAATTGGTGAGGCAGTCTAGTGCACTGTATTTGTCCTATGATAATGATAAACATTTCAGCATTCATCAGGAAATCCTTTTCATTTGTATCTTCAATTCGTCATGTGCAGCATAATCATAACTGTCATGTCATATAATGGCATAAATTGGAATACAAAAGTACTGCGGAAAAGATCACCACACACATGACTAATGGTATGTGGTTGTCTAGTCATAAATGCACTAAATGACCACATATCGTTATTCAGACTAGTACAAACCACTGCCTGCAGAAGGTCTGAGGAATACAGAATATGCAAGGTTTTGAAGTTTAGCTTGTTTTTGTGGCGCTAGAGACTGTATGACATAGAGATTACTCACACAGTGTTAGGTTGCAGATACATCTGGTACTGTTAATTAGCTTCTACTGTAGCCGGTTCTTGCTGAGCACTAATGATACGGAAATGCTTATGAGGGGAAACTGATGTGGTTTCTAAAACAAAGGGTGCAATTTATATCTCGTAGTGGGTGATGGGTTTTACTGCCTTTGAAGTATTTTATCAGAAATATTAACTTTTTCTCCAGCTTTGCTGTAGCAAACAAGAGATATAACATTTTTTCTTGTTCTTTATTCTCTTAATCTGTCTTATTCTTTAATTCTCTTTCTCTGTCTGGTTTTCTCTGTCTAAGGTGACCCACCCTCCGAGGGGAGAGCAGCAGGGGCAGTTGTTGGGCACTTTTGATGAGAAAGCCTATTTAGCCAGTAAGCAGCTGAAAGCTGGAGAGGATCCATACAGAGATCATGCTTTCAATCTGCAGGAGAGTGACAGACTGGGCAGTGAAAGGGCCATTAGGGACACTCGACACTACAGGTATTGTACGTGTACACACACACACACACATTCACACACTTTTGTCAAACATTCCAAAATGCACTCATAGCAACATGTGTAACACACACCCACATTAAACTGAGTAGCAGAAATAACTAACTGCTTCATATGATGCTACAACTCATATTTTTATGACTAAATTAAGCCCTTAAACTCTGAGAATTGGCAGGCATCCTTTCCTCTCATACTCCTACAACTACATAAGTTACTTTTTTATCGCAAATACTAAGTAATTCATAGTCATTGGCAGTGCCGATTGTAAGATTTTTAAAGTGGAGCCATAGTTTCTGTACAGGGGTCAAATGAATGCCTTAAAATTCAAAAGGGTTCCAAAAACCTGCCCCCCATAGGGGTGTTTGGAACTTTGTTCCCCTAGGAAAAAAGGAAGAAGTTATTTTAACATGAAAATGAACGCAAAGAATATGAAAGTAATTGCTGTAGAATGATTCAGTTCACTGAGTTCAGCAGCTATGCCAATATAAGTAAACATTTTACTTCTTTCCAGACTTTTAGTTGTCTGTTAAAAACCTGTTGTTTACCATACCAACGTCAAAGGGTCAGTGTTTTGACAAACTTCTGCTTTTGCCAGCTCCTCAACAGTTATTATAAATGGAAGCCATTCTAAAAACTTGCATTACTTGTGTTGTGTCTGTTACTGGGTACTACTGATAAGGCACATTGTGCTTGGACCATGATGACTGCAACTTGTAGATGATCATTTAGCTCTCAGCAGATAGTCCACATAAATCAACATGTTCTACATCAATTTCAGACAAAAACAAAGTGAAGAAAGGGATCTTGAAACTTTTTTTATATGATGTGTCTGAAACTGCTACATCTGTGGTTAAATGGCCACGATCTGCTGCTGCTTCTTCAGAATTCTTATTGGCAGCAAGGAAATCTACACGATTTACTTGACCGGCATGTTCAGCATTCAAAATGATCAAGTTTGCATATCAATCAGTAGCGTGCTTGTAGGTGGTGAATGACAGCAGAAAGGCATTTAAGGGGCCAATCAGATTTTTACCAAGCCCCTGTGGCCCCACCCCTGGATCTGCCCATGGTTACTGGATAATAAATGTTAAGGGTAATAACTTATCATCTAATAACTTAATAACAGTGTAATAATCCTAGGGTTCAAAGGGTTAGATGGAAAAAGTAGATTTTCTTTGGTAATTTTTTACTGTTTTAATTTTTGTATGGTCCCATAATCCAGTTTTACGTGTGTGGACAGGAAATCAAGTGCTTGGTTAACTATTTCTCAGCACTTTTTTCCTTCTTTTTGATATATAAAGAGCCAAAAATTAATATTTTTTGTGTCACAAAACTACCTCTTTGTTCATGAAAACACATAGATATGAATATACATTGCACATCATTCAAATTTTTATTGCTATTCTGAGGAAGCCAGGCTATAATAAGCCTTTAGCGATCTGAATTCTGTTCTGAATGTGCTTGCACACTTCATATATTCAAAATATCACAGTGCATCCAACAACAAAGGCAGCATTTATATGGTGATAAAAACATGGATACACACCGAAAGTTCCAAACCTACATGCTGATACATTTAGCTATGGCCAAAGTGAACATGCATGTGTCGTAACTCCTCTGGCAGCAAATTTAAAGTTCAAGGGGATAAAAACTATTCAGGTATTCGTTCTGTTGCATCAGAGAAAAAATCTGAGAGAAAATATACAGACAAGCAATTCAATGAAACTCTGATTTTATGTTTTAATAATTCAGCAGATTAAGTTGTGCACCACTTTACCATGTTTGTGTATTATGAGTAAGAACTACATTTAGCCTGTAACATTGTTAAGTGTTAACACTTAATAAAGTCTTTGCTGCGAATTCAGTAGTTCAATTTACTGTGTATTGTAACGGGCTGACTGGAAGAAAGTTTAATTGCAGTGGGAAAGTGTATACACTATGTGTGTTTATATGCTGTAGTCCTTTTTTTCTTCTCAGTAGTTTATTAGCTCCTGCAGATACTCAGGATGCTCATCACTGATTCAGTTGTTTAATTTTATGCAAAACAGTCTTTCTTTTTGTAACTCTGCCAAAGTGAAGCATGCACACTGCAGGCACAGTTATTATAAAGCAATCCCACCACATGTAGGACACAAAATGTTTTCTGTCTTTCAGGTGTGCCTCAATAACTTTTGACCCTGACCTGCCCTCCACCAGCATCATCATCACCTTCCACAATGAAGCTCGCTCCACCCTCCTGCGCACCATTAAAAGGTAACACTCATAAAAGTTCACATGGCTGACACAAACCTCTCTCACTGCATTCAGCAGTCTGCAGCACTAACAGCATAGTGAGAAATTAAGGGCCTTTCAAGTCTGAGCTCAATTAATATTACAGTGCAAAAGAGGAAACATCACAGTGGTATTAGTTTTCAGTTGCACTTCTAAGAATACTACACATTAGAGCAGTGTCCAGTAACACTCTCCCTCTCTCTATCTCTGCCTCAGTGTACTCATCAGAAGTCCACTGCATTTGATACAGGAGATTATTCTTGTGGATGACTTCAGCTCAGACCGTAAGTAGTTCCCCCCCCCCAATTATACACACACAGACGCACACAGATGGAAGTAGTAAATTGGTAATATTTCCTGACTTCTCTCTGTTCTCATATTACACTTTCATATAATGAAGATGGATTCATGAATGCATGAGTGGCTCTGACAGTGCCATTACAGACTATGTCAATTATTCAAATCTCTGGTAGTCATAGAGAAAGAAATAAGCTCTCCTGTCTAAAATAAAGCTCCAGTGTAATTGGTTTCATTCAGTGTTGGAAATCAACGTTTTCCTATTTCACAAAATTTAAATAAGTACAGTGATCTCACTCAGTGGATAATATAGTCCATTGCTTTCACCACAGATTACCACCAGTGGTGTAACTACTGGGGGAGCCGGGGGGAGTGGAGCAAGGGAGACCCACGTTGAACTGGCTAACCCTAAATTATAGGTCCCTCATATGGATACTCACATAATTGTACAATGATGACTCACAGAAATGACAAATTTCTCAACAACGTACAGTACTGTATGTTGTTAGAGACCACCTTTCATTCATTTAACTTCCAGTCAGAATGGCCTTTAAGTACAACTTACACACTTTTCATTGTCAGTGAAAAAAGCATAAAACTTTTATTTAACAGACAATTACACAGAAGCCTCAACAACTATATAATATAAAATATTATATTTTTTTTTTGTTATTTTTTCTATTCAGGTGTTACCTTTGTTACAGCTTCCATTTTTTTGAGGACACTTGTTTCAGTTTTTCAAACAAACCTACAGGGATATTTTTCCATGCCGCCAAAGTTCAGTCTAGGAAATTATTTGCATTTTTTATTCTTACAATCCCGACAATTTCAAACACTTTCAGTGATGTTGAGGTCTGGGCTCTGCGATGGTCTTTACCAGTCTGAGAACACCAGCACCTTCTTTGTTTGATTTACAAATGTTTTTTTTTTGGTTTATTTTCTTTTCTTAGTAACAACTTCTTTCAGACCCACAGTGTTGAGTTGTCTTCTCACAGTGGAAGAATGAACAGAAACACCTGTGGATTTTTTTAAGATCTGAAGCAATAGTTGAGCTTGATTTTCTCCTCTCTCTCAAAGATGAAAGCTTTAAGTACTGTTTATATTATGATTACAGTTTTGAGGTTGTTAGTAATCCTGTTTTCTCAATATTGTTTAAAAAGTTTTGTATTCTTCCTTGTTCAAGTGGATTATCTTATAGGTGAACTTAAAGGGCATTTTGACTGGAAATCAAATAAGTGAAGAGGGGTCTCTGACTTTTGCACAGTACTACATCTCAGCAGTTAGCATCCATCAACACTTCACAGACCGTCCTGATGTCTGTTTATCTCTTACTCATGATGCATCTCATCCTTGGGAACCATTTTCAGTCCTTCAGAACCTGCATTTTTATGTATAACTCTGAAATCTTAAGAATGGCTTGCCTCCAGAATGTCGCTGTGTTAAAGACGTAACAATTGCATTGTCATTTTTTATTAATTTGAGTCATTTTTTAATAGGAGTGCCTTTTTTTGCAGTGGGGCCCATAAGATTACCACTGATTACCACCACATATGCCTCATACGCACATGAAGGGGTGATCGAGCCTGGCTTATGTCAGGGCTGTAAGATTTTTGATTGCAAACACAGCTTGTGCATATGCATATACTGGTGCATGGGTGTGTGTGTGAATGAATGAGTGGGAGTCTGTTTATCCATACTCATTATTTCTTACAAATTAGCCAGAAAGCTGCTAATCTGTTTGCTGGCCTGGTTATGCTCATTACTCAAGTCAGCAGTCCTGCCAGGCTGCATGCGATAGAAGGCTCTTGCCTGCCAGGATGCATGTGGTAGTAGGAATCAGGCTGCCAGGCTGCATGCTGTCTAATAGCCTCTATCTGTGTGTAAAAAGCCAGAGAGCATGTTTGTGCGAAGATGTGAGCTGTAGTGAATTAGCCCAGGCTGTTTCAGGACATCTGTGGGAAGGCAGGATTTTTCACCCCTTCTAAATCCTGTTAATGCTAGTGTTAATCAAGCAGCGCGATCAGCGTGATTTGCGTGTGACTCTTACTGACTCTGAAAAGACCCATGGCACCTCATTGGTCTTAAAGGAATCCCTTACAGAAAAGTCACATATATTTCACATGTGACACGTGTGCAAAAAAACACGTTTGCAAGTAATCAGATTTGTTTTCACATGCTATCACACATGTGAACAAGTTATTTAACATGTGAAGTGTGGAAAAACTACGTGTTTTTTTACACGAGAAATTGATGTGACTTTTTTCTAAGGCATAAACCTCATATCACTGTTTTTGGAATCTCCATTATTGATGTTTTTCAGTTTTTGACATAATTTGAAAATACCTGTTACCCTTTACATTGTATGTAAATTTCATGATGAATGGACTAAAAGAAATCACCCAGAATTACTTGGAAAAAAGTCTGGTTCCATTGACTTACATTAAAAGTAAAGTATGTTTTTCCATCTCCTGTAAAGTTATCATTTTGGAGATACAAGGTTTTCTTCTGACAACAATGATATGTATTCAACAAGCCAAGATACGTCTGGTGTCTGGAGTTTGCATGCTTTTGCACTGAAGCTACAAAGCTGATGTAGCCTACAAATAATGGAAGGACTAATGGGCACTGTGCAAACAGCATGCACAAATCATCGCACACTTACCTTAAATCCCTTTAGTTGTTAAAGTCTCAGGGAATGCAGTGTAAAATGTTAAAAATGTTCATATGGTACTTAATTAAGTGTTCGATTAGACCTCCAGCAAAATGTTAATGAAAAAAGAAGATGGAAATATAATAAAACATGGCTTAACAATCGTTTATCTGTGATCTGTGTGGGCGTGGACTTATTATTCTAATGAGCATGCGTGATTGACAGCCCTCAGCACAGCACTCTCATCCTTCAGGGCCACTGAAGCAGAGCTCAACAGAACAGCGTGAGCTAGTTTAATAGCTCCATTATGCATACTAGGTTAGCTTTCGCTTGGTTGTTAGCTTTCTTTTTGTTAGTTTTCTGACTCAGACACAGAGAGATACAGAAGTCCAGAGAGGCCATAAGGTAGTTTCAATTTTCTGGATTGCTATCTTGAGATAACCAGTTAATTATCTTGTTATTTCAAGATAACAACCCAGAAAATTATAGTAACAGCCCATGGCCTCTCCAGACTTCCGTAGAGAGACAATAGAGGTAAAACAGTTTTGTTAAAGCTGAGTGGGCAGAACAACCCACATCAACCATGTGACTGGTGAGGATACTCCTTACTTAAGTGCTAACCAGGATTATGACTGATCAGTTTACATCAGAAGAGGAAAATTTTGGCAAAATTCACCTCCATTTTGTAGATACTGGAAATTCATACAGTATACTTGTACGTGTATATTGTGTGCCCACAAGAGCAAAATTAGCCTACCTAGAAATAAAAAAAAAAAATTTTGTTTGTTTAAGTAATCTCAAATAGACTTGCTGATGTATTTTTTGGCACCATATGCCATACAAGTGGACAAAAGCATCTTGAATTCTGAAATTTATCCATAATTGTATCTATTTTTGTTCAGTTGAGCCCCTCTAATGAAAAACCATTTATTAACCATTCCGCCTTTTTATCAGTAATTTTGTTTTCTATTTTATTTTTTATGCAACCTTTTATATTACAAAGCCAAACTATGCTTATTTACATTTTAGTGACCCCTTTATTTTGAATACAGAGCATCAAACAATGCCATACCCTGCTTATATGATTTCTACCAAAAATGTCCCATGTACTGTTTTTCATTGCAAGAGCTCACCTGTTAGCCTCCTAGCCTTGTAGCTCCAGTGCAAAACTAAGTACAGTACAAGCAGACTTCAGACACCAAACATGTGTGGGCTGATTATATTTGGAGTAAAAGGAAAATTGTGTAATTCTTTCCCTGTTTCTTGCTTGCTTCTATGTCAGATTATGCTCTGTTTCAGAAGGTTGTACATACTATGCCAGGTTAGATAATACATATATCATAAAGAGTCCCCTCCTCAATTATTGGCACCCCTGGTAAAGATAAGTGAAAAGGGTTATAAGAAATCACCACTGGGTGAATTAGCTTAATCTCACACTGAAAAAATGAGAAGCAATAGGTATTTCCCAGTTTCCCACACCACTCAAACACATGCATGATAATAGTCTATATTTATATTTCTATATATTTATATATTTATATTTAAGTTCCCTCTAACTTTACCTGTGTGATGTTTATTACATGCTGAGTCGGCAATTTTGTCAGTTTGCAGATGTACGCACTTCTGCACCAGTTTTAGTGTACTTCGATGGGAAACCCAGTTTTGCAAACAATTAACACACCGTGATGAGTATTTTGGAGCAAGATACAGTGGCTGGATTTCAAAAATGAGTACACAGCATCACATCTTTAAAAGTTATTTAACAGTTTTTTTAAAGCTTTATTAAGCTAGTAAGCGAAATATCCTCATAATTTTGCTGTAGCCCTGTTTTGAAAATTGTCTGTCTCTACTTGTCAGGTCACATGCGTCAAAACGCACCAGCCTCTCTGAGGACGGGCAAAAGTCTGTCTTGCGAGTCTAATCTCTCAGTGTCTCTGCCTGGTTATCTCTTACTCCATCTGCAATACATATATGCATATGTGAGCAGATGGAAGATATGAATTAGCTGTGGAGATTCACACAGACAGACACAAACACAAGCACATGGTGTGAAATGCGTCTGTCAGACTCCGTATAGCGTCTGCTATGCCAGTGTGTGATAGTGTGCGCTTGACTTTTGCCCTCACTGTAATCCAGAGTTTACTCCTCCCCCTCACCATCTGTCCATTCTCCCCTCCCATTCAGGAGTGACATTATACATTTAACTTCACTCTCTCCCCCTCCCAATCATTGTCACTCTCTCTCTCTCTCTCTCTCTCTCTCTCTTTCTCTGTCTGTCTCTCTCTCTCTCACACACGTACACACACACACATTTACATGTGCCCATAGAAAAAAACTCTTGCGCACACACATACACACATTTGAGCACAAACAACAGAGATTTTAACAACAAACACATGCAAAGATATTACTGCACACACAGTGTATTGTGGGTGGATTATCAGGCTGGTCAGTGTTAATGGTCCTGCAGAAGGCCAGATTTGCTCGATCTGTAGAGCCAGTAGAGAACTGCTGTTAATCTTAAACCCTTCAATTGTGTGTGTGTGTGTGTGTGTGTCACAGTATGTATTGCTCAGTGTAAAATATGATTAGATAAGATACAAGATCAGAAAAACTGTGAGATCATGAAGTCTAAGCAGTAACTATAGGACTTTAAAGTGTTTGGCACCATAAAGTTTCAGCTTTATTTAAAGTGATTTTAAAGGTGTTGGAGTTGGATTTTTATGCTGATAGGCAGTAAAAGGGCTGGGTGATATCCAAAAATAGCACAATATTTTCTTGTTAATAAAATCAGGCTTATGGATTATATAGCACCCCCATTAAATAACCATCAAATTACTTATTTATTTTTTTTACCACTAAGTAATTAAATGAAAATCTTCAATGAAAACCACATATTAAAGAATAAAATACTGAGTAGCTGAACCTTTATTTGAAAACTATTTTACCTCTTGTTGTGAAAGTTATGACTGCATCGACACGCATTCGTAGCTGTTTCTTCTCTTTAAATGATGCTTACAAGTGAATTGCATGCTGGAGAGATTCCAGACTGCCACACATGTTCTGCTTAAGTAAATGAGTGAGTTCTGAAGTTATGTCCACATGCTTTATGTATAAATAAACAAGGTGTTTTTGGTCATTATAGTGCTCTAGATATGTGTGGGAAACCATGAAGTATTATACTTTCATAATTTTACAACGCTAAACAAACTGTGACTCTTAAGCTGAATGGAAAACGCTGATAATTTTCCTGAGATGGTATGTTGCATTATGGGAAATTTACTCTACTGGATCTTATTAATGCAACGTAATAATCAATTGTTTTGACAATAAAGAGGAATCAAATTTTATATCTCTATATTATTTTAATATCATTAAGCAGACTGTTTAAAATTAAATTAGTCTTCACTAGCTCTCTATCAGTTCTCTTTTCTCAAAATAATGACTGTCGCCTTTGATCACCGATATTCGATTACATCACCCTCATGCCAAGGCTTAGGCACTAAGTCAGTTGCAGTCATTTAATTTTTCACCCTCCTATGTGATCGTATTGCTTTTTTACTGTCCAGTTTCACATTTGTAAAAATGTATATGAAAGACACAAATGACTCTTGCCATCACCATTGCTTTTCATGCGTGCAGTCTGTTGTATTTGTAAATAGTTGGTAATTGAATAGCCTTAAAGGAGAGTTTATGTCACAAAACACCACTTCTAATACTGTGTCTTAGGCAGCCAAGACAGCTGTTTAAAACTATTTATCTGGGCAGTAAGTGTGTTTTGTAAGTTTTGTAACATTAGAGAAAAGTATAAATTAACATAAATACAGTAGAACATTGGTAGATTTATGATTTTAAAAAAAGTTATTAATATCTTGGTTAAAAGAACACAGCTTTGGCTCCTGACTTCTTGCTGCACTCAAGCCTTTGCACACATTTGTTCCATCTTTCCATCAGCAGCACCTGATTTAATTTAATGAAGTATTGATTAGCTGAAGAAGGAATTGGACGACGAGGGTAAATTCTGGACTCCCTTGAGGTCAGCTTTGGAAATAGCTACACTAACAAATTGACACACATCAAATCACAATGTGTTGTATCATCTGATTGTTATTAGTGTGTTTTTGACTAATAAATGGCTTTACATGTTATTTTCTCAGATGCCTAAGTCTTTTTCACAGCATATAGTAATACATGTGTAGAATCATTATCATTGGACACATTGAAATTTTTGTATGTGATATAAAGTGATTTTTAACTGTTCTTTTTTCAGTCCTTTACATGAGCACAGCTATAGGCCGACAAATGTGGTTGTGGGCGCTGCACATATGTGAGATGCATACTAACTGTCGGGGGGGGGGATTGTGGGGGATGTTGATGTGTTGCCATGTATATGTGTGTGCGTGTCAGTGTGTGTTTTCTCTGTGTAATCTGATGTCCCCTCTCTCATTAGCTGAAGATTGCCAGCTGCTCTCTCAGATCCCAAAGGTGCGGTGTCTGAGAAATGAACGGCGAGAGGGTGAGTGTTGAGTTCATGGGGAGCGAGGGGGGCTGGGAGTGATGCACACGAAAGAACAAAGAATTTGTATCTCTACCTCCAGGCTGTTGAATAGATCCAACACACATTTCCAGCTTTTTGGCTTTTTTTTCTAAATAGAAAGGTCAAATATTAGACCCTGTGCCAACATCTGTAATCAGCAGCTGTACCAGTAAGTCAGACCGCTAGTTGTTGAATGATGAATGTTTTTTTTTTCCTGATCCTCATTTTAAAAAAAAAATCACATCCAGTTTTCCACAGAAAGCATTTTTGGCAGTCACAGCAGCAATGTTACTCTGGAAATGAATAATTCAAGCTGTTTATCGGTAAATCGGAGAAATTCTGCCTGCAAGTTTACGCACATAGGGCTCTCTGGCCTGGATTGGATTAGACTTTGATGCTTTAATTTCTTGATTATCAGTGGAAACGTAGAAGGACGTAACTAGATCTTTCTGTTTGTTCTTTCAGTCAGCTGGCTTTTAGCCACTTGAAGCCTAAAACCTGCCAATTTGGCAAATGGAAAGAAAGAATGCCCTCAGGCTTCATCAGCCTGGGTGTAATTGCTATTGAAATCTTTGTTTTGGCTTTAATTTCATGGTCACCAACTAAAATTATATCACTTGAGTGAGATGAATTCCTATGCAATACAGTCAGTAGAGTCACAGTTGTTGTACATGTTGCTGCAGTGTTACTGAAGCTGTAAATTAGCTTATTGTAAAGGCTGTCCTGTTGGTCAGGTTTGATCAGGTCTCGGGTCAGGGGGGCCAGCGCTGCCTCTGCTTCTATCCTCACCTTCCTGGACAGCCACTGTGAGGTCAACACGGACTGGCTACAGCCCATGATCCAGAGGGTCAAAGAGGTGCGTGTTCACAGTTGTACACACTCTTACACATTTACACAGCTGAAAAGACTGAAAGCTGATGCTGTGTATACATTGCTTATTTTTCCACATACATACAGCAAAAATCAGTAGACAGTGTAAAAGTCACTGGATGTGCCTCGCCATGCTGCACAACATATAAAAATTCAAAACCACGACAGAACACACACCGGTGCTAACATACAGCACCTCTCAGCAAAACTGAGATTACTGTATTAAATTAAACCCAGAGCCAGACCACAAAAAGCCATACAAGTTGACAAGTAGCTTCAAATATACAGCCAGAAAGGCTAAACAACCATTTTCATCTTAGCTAGTGTTACAGTACACAAAATGTAGTGACGGTTTGTACTGTATTTGCAATGCGATGCTATGCAATACTGCACGTCTCAGTGCGTCCGCTGGTCTTTAATCTTCCTGACATGAAGGCCTATTTGTACACAAAAACACACACATATGCACATCATTCTACCAAATCGATTCAAAGTCACAGTTAACAACACATTTTAGACTTTTTTAGGGTTGAAAATTTTCAAGACTAAAATCCTTTTGCTTTGAGTGACCCTATACCTAAAGTGTTAAATCTTATTTAAACAAATGACTGAACATTCCATTTTGTCACTACCAGTAATAACACTAACAGCACTTTTACAAGTGTTTTGGTAGTGACAGTTTCAGCTAATATTGAGCATAGCTAGCAAACACAGCTTAGAACAGTTGTACACATAAAATCATAATATTTTTCATTAAAACACAAAAAACAGTTTACTTAATTGCAGAAAATACAATAAACATATTCAGACTTTGGGACATATTCAATTCAGCACTTTTCGAATAAAGTTTCAAAAATAAACTCATGACAAATCTTTCAACTTGACTTTTATCAAAGAAAAAATTCAATGAAATCTTTTAAAAGACATTGAAAGAAAATGCAAAGAATGTAAGCAAGTTGAAATTTAGGGGTTAGGGTTTGGGACAAGGCTAATGTAGGACAAAAGTGCTTCCAAAAAACAGAACAAAGGTAAAATAAATAAATAAATAAAACAAGGAAAACAAAAGGAGAAAACCAAAACACAGCTCAGACTAGCACAATAAACTAATACAGTGCTTTGTGAAGAGACAAAAACAAAGGCAGTATACACACAAGGCTCAATTAGTGCCAAATCTGAAAAAGACTGAGAACAAGCAGAGACTAGAGTAATGGTGACTGAGCTGAATGACCCTCCTGGATTTGGACAGCAGGAGTGGATGACAACCAGCTGCATGGGACAGGGTCTGGAATGGCTAGCAAGGCCAGGACAGGGTCATTAAAACAATGGGTAGTGGCAGGAATTAAGGCATTAAAACCAGGGACCATGACCAGGTTATATATGTATATATAAACCTGAACATAGCACAAACTTAAACTTAAACAAAGTTCAGGGCTGGCAGATTGGCAGCTTGAGATAGCAAGAGAAGGCAGTGTGCAGGGCAACAGGAAGGCGTGAGAGATTGAGTGAGAGATACTGAGTGATGAATAATAGCACAGGCCACTAGAGCATGAATAAAAAGAGGAAAGGGCAAAGATCATCTAAAAACAGTTGCAGCTTATAGATGATCTTTTCTTGGCTGTTGCAATAGGGCTTGTGTTGTGATTAGGTTGGAATTTGAGTGAAACATAGGCTGTAGGAGAGGGACTGAAGAGTGTGCAGTTCATTGACAGAGCCCATCCTCCAATGGTAGGAGAGCCAGAGATCAGCAGGACTACAGCAGCAGAGCAGTTGGACATCTGTATTGGGGCTGGGGCTGGACAGTCATTAGGAGAAAGTGATGTGGTGACAGAAAGACAGTCTAAGGAATTTGGAACTCTTTGGAAATGACTGGAGGCAAGGCACCAATGTGCTGGGAAGGCTCAGGAACTGGAATATGAATAAGAAGTAAGGGGCACACAGGACATTTGCAAGTTATTACTTGCCTTTGAATTGAACTGGTGCACCAAGACAAATTCTTTCTCTGGTAGTGACTGTACACCAGAGGGCCCAACTGTGGTGAACTTGGAGGTTTGATATTTCGTCAGCACTACAACAGACTTGGAGCCTGGCTTGACATGAGCAGCTGGGAACACAGTCTGTGTGGCAATATCCAGAGCAACTAGATGGGCAGAAGAGACTTCCATAGCTGCTGGTGGGGCAGTGGATATGTGCTGAGTCACTGTAGTGTCCTGAACCACTGGCAGGGCAGTATCAGTGTCCAGAGCATCTGTGGCAGGCAAACCAACCTTGATAATCATTAAGGTGGGTGAACCTGTTTTGACATCCTCTAGTACAGTGGAGCCTGCATCAACATCCATGAAGACAGGTAAACCTGGAAAGACATTCGCAAAGGCAGGTTAGCACATGGACATTCAGGAAAGTGACAGGTGTAACTGGAGCTAGACTGGAATGAGCATCAGGGAGCGACAGGATCCCTGTCAGAGTGAGGGCCAGGGATGTAGCCCAGGTCATCTTCAGAGGCCATGTGCACTGGCCTAGCAGTGGGGGACAGCTGAGTGGGGCTCTGGAAAGCCAGCTATGGAACAGTCTATTGACCTGGCACTGGAACAATACAAGCAGCCGGCACTAGAGCAGCTCAAGAAGTCAGCAAAACTAGAGCTGGCGCTGGAGAGCCAAAACTAGAGCTGGCGCTGGAGCCCTGCATGGGGGACCGTAGAAGCAGAGAGAGCAGACTGAAGGGTTTCCATGAGTGTAGCCTAATTAAGGACAGCTTGATCAAACTGGGTTTGGACACATGAGTAAAAGTCCTCCATTGTCTGTATTTTGTCAAAATCAGCCCACTTCTGTGCTTTGCCCCAGGGTCCAGATTTTACTATCAGTAACTGACTCCCTAAGGAAACAAATCAGCAGGCATATCAAAATCGTAAGTTAGCCATATTCATATTTGCTTTTAATAACTAAGTGTGAGAGGTGGAGGAGCATGGCTGGCTAGGCATGGCAAGACCTGGGGAAACAAAAGATGGCTTTCCAGGAATATAAACAGACCTAGGCTCTAGAGGCTCTAGCTTACTTGACAGTTGATCTTGAAACCTGTCTCCTTTGGGTGCAGTCTCTGCAGCTGGTGCATCTATACAGGAACAAGGAAAACAAACAAGGAGATCTACAAACAAAAAAAAAGCTAATGCAATGCTACACAAAGAGACAAAAGCACAAGGTGTACACCATTAGCAGGAAGCTTGAGGACCGGTCCAAGGGGGGAACTCCATGACACATATATTTATCTTATTACTATCTCAATTAATGTCTAAGGTTTAGATAGATCATAACTTAATCCTTGTAATTATATAAGGTCTGAGTGCTTAATTCAGTAGGATGGTCCGTATATGTATATATGTATATATGTATGTATGTATGTATGTATGTATGTTTATTTATAAAGCATTCCAATGTGTGTTATAGACCATTTCTAAGAAGAATTTTTCTTTTTTTCAGGATATGCCTTGTTGGGGTGGGCTTTACACATACGAGAATGAGCAGTGCTCTATTATGATTTTATGACATCATGACACTGTAGCATTGAATATAGCATTGATCATTCTTGAATGTGTAAAGCCCACTACCAGCAAGGTGTATATATATATATATATATATATATATATATATATATATATATATATATATATATAAAATCTCATAATAGTAATGAGCATCAAAGTACGAGAGAAACAGTTTTGGAAAACGCAAACAAGCAAAACGGAAAAAAAACATCTTTCTTTAATCTTTTTCTTCATCAAATGTGGGCATATGTGATTAATCACAATTAATTTTAATCATCTGACAGCCCAAATGTATAATATTTAGTATTTTTATAATTTTGTGTTCTATTTATTTACTTGTTACCATGTCTGCCTTAATGTGAGCGACTGCCAAGACCAATTCCTTGCCAATAAACCCAATTCCGATTGTTATGTGGGAAACGCACAATTTGGAACGTTTTCAGCAAGCCAAGATTCTCACACACATACACACGCAGACACACATGTACACACACAAACACACACACACACACAGTCATGCATGCACACACACAGATCCACTCACACTGTTGGGTAACTCTGTGACAGATGAGAACATTCTGACATTTTGTGTGTTAAGAGTCATTTATAACTCACAAATGGCCTGAGTCCAGCATGACCTTCAGCGATACTTCCTTTGAGAGGGAGAGAGGAGAGAGAGAGAAAGAAAAAGAAAGAGACATAGGACCGACACAGCTGCTCCAAACAACGCTGCCTGTCCCCTTCTTTGTCAAAGTTAACTAAATCACTAAGATACCATTATCCTCTCCAACCCTGTTCTCCAACAGAACAGCACAGCTCCAAGATAGTCGTTCTCTTTTTTCAATACCTCAACAGTAATTTCATTCTTTTGATATATCATCTAATATCTTCTGCCCTGCAGCTAAAGTGTCTCTTTCATAAACGTGCACAGGGGAAGAAGCCCCTCTGTTTTCTCTTATCTCTTATTGCTGTACGCACTTTATTTTGGCAAGCTCGTACAGATTTTACTGTGTGCGTTTTAAAGGCTATACAGGATTAGGAAATGCCATCTGAAAATGTAAAGCTTTCTCCTAACCCTGAATTTGAACTGTGCTGGGATTAGCTTGAGAATATGTTGCCATACAAAAGTCTGAGATTGCTTTTCATATTAATACTGTTTGTTATTTTTATATACAATAATAACTTATGAAGCATAGACCAAAATATTATAAAACAGGTGTGAAAAAGGTGTTTTAGCAGCGGTGTATACTGTAGACAGAAAGTGAGTATACTATAAATCAGCACCAGCCCAGGACCTCTATGTACACACAGAGCAAGATCTATGTTTTGTATGTTTTAGTGAAACATACACATTAATTTATGGTAATCAGCCAGTTTACTGTACAACACTGGAGTGTGCTCTGTTCCTCTTCTTTTACTCATATGGGTTTGTAATGCCATGACTGTGAGT